ACTTATAAATTAAAATAATTAATCAAAAAGATTAGTTAAGATTGTAACTAAAAAATAGTAAATTACTTGATGTAGTTAACCAAAATTATGTGTTTGAATTAGGTAAATAAAGAAATTTTTTTATGGATATCTGACAGCAAAATAATTTGCAAATTGTCGAGATTATGATGAATTTTGTAAAAATGTTAATTTTAGATGTCGATTATAACAATAAAATCGTGACTGAATTTTTAATATTTTTTGAATGCTATTGTAACAATATAATAGGAACCTTTCATTAATTGTTCATGCTTTTTGATCCAACAAATAAATTTATAGGAAAAAAACTAAAAAAAATGTAAATATCCGTTAACCACTAAAAACGAGATTCAAAATTTTTTAAGAATTTCCAACTTAAAATAACATACAATTATTCGTGATTTGTACATATTTTGTCAAAATCCAAACTTTAAATACTTATAAAAAAAAATTGTGACCATATTTTTAATATTTTAAATATAAATTATTGCATAAATGAGTTAATTTCATTTCAGGTATCTCTCGACAGGCTAGTCTTTCTATTCTCTTAGCCTTGTATTTCGTTTGAATGACTATACGATTGGGAAAATTGTTGGTGAGGTGGTCCAAAGTATTTGGAAAAATTTACAATCTTCACACATGCCCATTCCTACTAGAGATGATTTTTTGAGAATGGCAGCAAATGCCAAGGAAAGATGGAATTTTCCAAACGCGATAGCCGCAATAGATGGGAAACATATCCAAATAAGGCACCTTCAAACAGCGGTACGATGTACTACAACTATTTAAATTATATTTCGGTTGTTTTACAAAGAATAGCAGATGTTGATTGCAAGTTCATTTTTATTGACGTTGGTGGATATGGGAAACAAAGTGACGCAGGCACTTTTGCCGAGTCACAAACTTTTCAGTTTTTGGAGGACTTTGAGAAGAACCTACCAAAACCATGTCCATTTGAGGGAAGTGATGGCCMAATGCCATTTGTTTTTGTAGGAGACGACGCATACCCTCTGAAAGTGTATCTGATGAAACCATACCCCGGGAATAATCTAAGTCAAGAACAAAGGGTGAGTTTATCAATTTAATTATTATGATGAAGACTATACTTAAAACTTCTACGACTTTTTCTCGATTTTTTAGATTTTCAACTATCGACTATCTAGATTTAGACGTTGCGTCGAGTGCACTTTTGGAATAATAACATCTAAATGGGCATTATTAAAGAAAGCTATTGAGACAAAGGTAGAAAAAGCAGAAACAATTATTAAATGTATCTGCTTGCTACACAATATTATTWTTGATAGAGAAGGTAAGTAAATAGAAACTTAAATTTGTATGTACGTAAGTGATATAGTCAAAATCTGAAATTCACCGTACCTTGTATTGCCCATACCCCCTCGAAAATACTTTACTAAATCTATAATCAAAGTTTAAAATAAATATTGAATACAATTTATTTACTGTAATATTTATATTGTAATTTTCAAACATTAAAAATGATTTTTATTTTTTTTTACCACGGCTGCTTTGACCATTGGTCTGACA